TCTTGCGAAGAAATTTACCCCGACAGTACTTTGTATAGTTGAAACACAGATTGATAGAGTACGTGTCGAGAATTTGAAAGGGGAATTAGGGTACAATAAAAGCTATGCTGTTAGTAGTGATGGTAGAAGTGGTGGGTTAGGGATTTTCTGGAATGATGAAATAAATTTGCAAGTTTCTGGCTATTCTCGATACCATATAGATGCTATGATTCATAATGCAGGCCCAATACCTTGGAGGATGACATGTATTTATGGTGAAGCTCAAGTGCAAGATAGATATAAAACATTCGATATTTTGAGAGGGTTGGCAGGACAATCCGATGACCCGTGGATGCTCATAGGAGATTTCAATGAGGTCTTGCACTCAAGTGAACATGATGGTATTAATCACAGAAGTCAGAGTCAGATCAACTTATTCAGATCGGCAGTGGATGATTGTGCTTTGATGGAATTGGGATTCACGGGGTTAGAGTGGACCTTTGAGAAAAGAGTGGTCGGGGGCTCATTTACACGGGTGTGGCTGGACCGTGCGCTTGCATGTGCTGCATGGCGAGGCGCGTTCCCCAAGGCAGACCTACAGCATCTAACAGCAGCAGCCTCGGATCACCAGCCGATCCTTTTGCGCCTGCATCCAGCATTGGAGGAACCAGTCCGAAGAGAGTTCAGGTATGAGTGTATGTGGGAGTCACATCCTAATATGCATGCTACAGTGGCTGGTGCTTGGGGACCGCCAACGGGCGAGTCAGTGGCGGACATGGCAGCGAAGCTGCATGCTTTGGCTGGATCTTTAAGCGCATGGGATAACAATACATTTGGCAGTGTAAGAAGTGGAATAAGAAATCTAAACCGTGAGCTGGAGTACTTGAGAGGTATTCCTGGGAGGACGGGGCCATCTGAAAGAGAGTCGGATATTAAACGTGATCTGTTGGAGCTGTACAAAAGAGAGGAACTAATGTGGAAGCAAAGGGCTAGGCTTGAGTGGCTCCGAGCCGGGGACAAAAATACGCGATATTTCCACATGAGGGCGAATATGAGGAGGGCAAAGAATAAAATCAAAGCTCTCCTTCGAAGCGACGGCACCCAAACAGAGGATGTAGAAGAAATGAAGGTGATGACCAATTCTTTTTATAATAATCTGTACACAACCGAAGGAACGGAGGACATGCAGGCTGTTCTCAATAATGTACCACGCAAAGTCACTAATCAAATGAATGATTCTCTAAATGCTCCCTACACTGCCGAGGAGGTAAAGAAGGCTCTCTTCCAGGTGGCTCCTCAGAAGGCACCAGGGCCGGATGGCTTCCCGGCCCAGTTCTTTCAGAAACATTGGGACATTTGTGGAGAGGAAGTAACAAAGATAGTATTGAGAATTGTGGAAGGGGTGGAGAGTGCTCAGGAAATCAATAAAACCATCCTTGTTTTAATCCCCAAGGTAAAGAATCTGTTGCTACTATCTCAATTTCTCCCTATTAGCTTGTGCAACGTCCTTTACAAGATTAGTTCAAAAGTTGTAGCAAGTTGTCTAAAGGTGGTGCTACCGGATATTATTTCAGAAGAGCAGTCTGCCTTTGTCCCTGGTCGCTTGATAACTGATAACATTATTGCCGCTTATGAATGTCTACATTTTATGAAGAGGAACAAGGCTCAGAAGCACAGACATTGCGCACTAAAAGTTGATATGATGAAAGCATATGACAGGGTGGAGTGGAATTATCTGAGAGCAATAATGTTGAAGTTGGGGTTTTCACAGAGATGGGTTGATATCGTTATGGGAATGGTTACTTCGGTTTCCTTCTCAGTTCTTTTTAAAGGGCAAAAACTTGATGTTTTTAATCCTTCATGTGGTATCCGTCAGGGAGATCCAATCTCATCGTACCTTTTTTTGCTGGCAGCAGAGGGCCTTTCATGCCTTTTAAAATCCAGAGTTCAGTCATCCAATCTTGCAGGAATACAAGTGGCTCCATCGGCTCCACCGGTTAACCATTTGTTGTTTGCAGATGACAGCATGCTGTTTTTTTAAAGCAAATAGTGTGGGGGCTGAAGAAGTGTCTCTCTTGTTGGAAACCTATGCTAAAGCGTCAGGACATAGAATTAACAGAGATAAGTCTTCCTTGTTTTTCAGCAAGGGCTGTCCAGAGGGAGTAAGAGCTACCATAAAAAATATTCTCAATGTCCCCAATGAACAGTTGAATGAGAAATACCTAGGTATGCCATCTGATGTGGGTGTTTCAAAAAATGGTGCATTTAAATATCTGAAGGATAGATTATGGAGTAAGATACAAGGATGGATGGAAAAACTTTTATCATCAGCTGGGAAAGAGGTCCTTATTAAATCAGTAGCTCAAGCTATTCCGGTCTACTCAATGTCCTGCTTCAAACTCCCAAGAGGATTATGCAAGAGCTTGACCTCTATGATTAATGCATTTTGGTGGGGCAGCAAGAGGGGTCAAAGAAAGCCGTACTGGGTATCTTGGGATGTTATGAGCATGCCCAAGTACATGGGAGGCTTAGGCTTCAGAGATTTTGAAATTTTCAATTTGGCACTGTTAGCCCGACAGGCGTGGAGAGTTATTCAATGCCCAGAATCTTTAAGTGCATGAATTCTACAAGCAGTCTATTTCCCGGGGGGTGACTTGCTGTCCGCGGAACTTGGTAATCATCCTTCCCAGATCTGGCGGTCTCTTCTGGAGGGACGTGATACTTTGCGTCAGGGCCTTATTCGGAGAGTGGGAAATGGTGAAACGACAGAAATCTGGAATATGAATTGGATACCGAGGAAAGAAAATATGAGACCAATTGTTTCGCCGGTCAATCAACCACCACACTTGGTATATGAATTAATGGATCAAGGGAATGCTAGATGGAATTCAGAATTGATACAACAAGTCTTCCTGCCATATGATGCTAGTGCCATCTTGCAAATTCCAGTTTGTACTCGGAACATTGTAGATTTCTGGTCGTGGGCTTTTGAGAAAAATGGAATTTTTTCAGTCCGTTCAGCTTATAGGATGATCACGGAAACAAAGAAGAGGAGGGAAGATTGGCTGGAAGAGCGTCCAGGCGGCTCTGACACAAGTAACAAATCAACATCATGGACCTCTCTATGGAATACAATGGTGCCAGCAAAAATCAAAGTTTTCCTGTGGAGACTGTCCAAGAATTCTATACCAACAGAAGATGTTCGAAAGAATAGAAATATGTCACACACGGATGAGTGTTTTGCTTGTGGAGCTACTGATTCTTGGCGGCATAGTTTACTGGAATGCACCTCGGCTCGATGCGTTTGGGCGCTTGTTGATCCTGATTTATTGGAGCATATGCTAGAAACAAGGGAACCATCAGCGGAAAGTTGGCTATTTTCTATGATGGATGTCCTCAGACATGAGGAATTCACTCGGCTGGTAGTAACGTTATGGGCCATCTGGTACGCAGGCGAAAACTGATACATGAGTCTATCAGTCAGAACCCGTATGAGACACATGCTTTCGTCATGAGATTTATCTCTGAACTTGATCAGCTAAAGGATCCTTCGGTCACAGAAGCTAGAACGGCTATCCCGGGCCAGCCAAGGCGAAAGTGGATTGCACCACAGGAAGGTCATGTCAAGATCAATGTGGATACCCCGCAAAAAAAAGGATCAATGTGGATGCTAGGGTGTCAGTTCACCATAATATGGGATCAGCTGCTGCGGTCTGTAGAACGAGGGAAGGAACCTATCTTGGAAGCTCACTACTGGCAGTTCATGGTCTACTTAATCCGGAGATGCTGGAAGCAATTGCTTGCCGGGAAGCGATCGCCCTAGCCCAAGATATGGGGGTGCAGAATATTCAGATTGTTTCAGATTGTCAGCAAATCGTCAACCACATCCATCTTGGACCTGGAGGAGAGGATGGAGGCATCATCAAAGAGATTTTAGAGAGTTCTGGACTGTTTCAGTCTTGTAATTTTTCTTTCGAATACAGAACTTTCAATATGGAAGCTCATAGGCTTGCTAGGTTTGGGGTCTCTCTTACTCAAGGGAGACACATATGGCTAGGTCTTCCTCATGATCCTGTTGCCATTCCTGTAAACATTTTAGTTAATCAATAAATCCTAGCAGGTTTCGCTCAAAAAAAAAATCTATAGAAGCCATCCTTCGTCAGTCATTCACCAAATCCCCAATTCCCCAATCCATGGCGCCGCCGCCAACCTCGCGCCCAGCACCACCGCCGGAGCCGCCGTTCCTTCGAACCCCACACGATCTCCTCGAGGAAATCTTCCTCCGCCTCCCCACTGCCGCGGACCTAGCCCGCGCCTCCACCGCATGCGCCACCTTTTGCGGCGTCATCACCGGCCACGCATTCCTCCGTCTTTACTGCACCCTCCACCCGCCGCCTCTCATCGGCTTTCTCCACGACCCGTTCAGTCCGGCGCAGCCGCCGCACCCTTCCGCCGTCGCCGCCCGCGCCTTCGCCGACTTCAGTTTCTCTTGCTCCTCCTTCCTCCCCGCCACCGCCGGCCGTAACTGGAGTAGAATCAACTTTTTTGACGGACGCGCCCTCCTTGCCGGCGCCCCGGTCGAAGAAGAAAGCGGCAGCAACATCCTGCTGGGTTCCGATGTGTGTGACTACATGTACCGCAAATTTCTGGTCAGAGACCTTGCCGTGTGCGACCCCGTGCATCACCGCTACGTCCTGCTGCCCGCCGTCCCCGACGACCTGAAGGCGCTGGTCCGCAGACCGGACCTTTTTGCTCTAGAGACTTTCCTTGCTCCCGGCGACGATGAGGAGGACCCTCTATCATTCAGAATGATGTGCTTGGCGCAATGCAGAATGCATCTGCTGCTTATTGTCTTCTCCTCTTTGAACGGACAATGGCGTGTTCTTACAAACGACCAATGGAGTTCTCGGGCTACACTTGCTTCCTTTGAAAACTCTGAGCCTGGGCTTTCGGATCGACAGTTCGTCCACGGATGTTTCTGCTAGCAATTGCATTTCCTGGACAAGTTGCTTCTGCTCGACATGCACACCATGGAGTTCTCTGATGTCGACCTCCCGCCTGACCATCGAGGGATGGGTCGATCTGTCATTGTCGAGGCATCGGAGGGAAAGCTTGGCATGCTCACTAAATTGTATGATCAGGACACTGAAAATGACCCATTCTGGCTCACGTATTCTGTTCTACGAAATAATCAATGGCACTGGGAGAAGGACATCCCGATGCCGGTAAAGCGTGCAATTCTGGTTGGTGTAGCTGGGGGATACTTGCTTTTAGACGTGTTGTACACCACGCCTTCACAAGAGGATCTGAAGTTTGGATACTTCTCGGTGGACTTGAAGACATTGCAAGTCGAGTTGTTCGCTAGGCTTAGCAAAGCGATCTCAGCTGGTCATCTATATGCTGGTTTCCCACCATCCCTGTCTCCACCAACTATCTGAGTTGCTCAAGTTGCTCGGCCTTCAGCGTACTCTTATTTAATCTGGTTACAGTCTGGCACAGCAAAGCAATATGTTGCAGTGATTTGCTTGATGTTAACAAGCTTTGGCAGTATGCTTATTTTCATACAAGCAGTGCTGGTTATGGATACAGCTAATTGATATTGTGCGCATCATTTGCACTATATTCTGCCCTGCCTGCAGTTTTATAGTTAATAAGTGTTATGTATCGTTGGCACATTTTGGGATAATGTATTGTCTAATTTAAGTGAAACTGGAAGCTTACTGAATTCTGGAAAGCAATTCTCATCTAGTGAACATGCATATGAGCATCTTATGACTGCAGGAGTAATAAAAGGAGACCACTTTAGTGTCATTGTTCCAGTAAATCCAGAGTTGGCCTTGGGCATGTATATTCTACAAGTCCTGGGTTGCTTTGTTTCTTGTTAGAATTATAACCTTTAGCTAACGCTTATAACTGGTTTAGCCAGCTTGCTCACATCTTTTTCATGTTATTGTCTTCGTTAATACTACACACTACCAGAAAAACTTGTTTTGCCGACGGCCAAACCTATGCCGACGGCCCCCGTCGGCATATGTGGGCATACCCTGACGGCCCAACTAAAGCCGTCAGCGTAGAAAGGCCGTCGGCGTATAACCATCTATGCCGACGGGGGCCGTCGGCATAGATAAGCCGTCGGCGTTTCTTCGAATATACCTACGGTGGCCGTCGGCATAGAGCAGGCCGTCGGCATATCGCGTGGGCCCGTCTACCCGGGCGGCGACGGCAGTTTGACGGCGTCAGGCTACGCCGACGGGCTAACGGTGGCCGTCAGCATAGCTACGCCGACGGCCTAGCCGTCGGCATAGCTATGCTGACATCATCGATCCGCCACACCGCCACGTCATCGATCCGCGTCGTTCGCCGGTCCCGTGGGGAGGCATTTCTATGCCGACGGCTAGGCCGTCAGCATAGGCCTGGACCATGGTTTTTGCCACGTCATTGATCCCCGCCCTACGCCACGTCATCGATCCAGGGCTCTACCGTTCCGTGGCCGTAGCTATGCCGACGGCTTTGCCGTAGGCATAGATTTCTAATAATATTTTTATTTTTTTTATATTTTCTCTTTTTATTTTTTAGTTTTTTTCCAATACTAATTTCATTAACTTAAATGTACAGAAAACATATATCGATTGCCCCCCACACGGGCCTTCTTCCGTCGTGTCACAGAGAGGTTAGACGGGAAGGGGTACCTGTGGGGGGTAGCAATGCCGCCAGGTGTTGCGGTGGGCCCTCCTACGGTTGTGGAAACGTGGTGGCAGGCGCAGGCACGCGGCTCCGGGGTGTGCCCCCTCCCCCCTCACGGGCGTCGATGCCGCCGTGCCCCGGAGGGGGGAAACAGCCACGTCGGGCCGACGCAGAGGGAATCTTGGGGTGGGTTGTGCCGGGACTGTGTTGGGGGTGTAGCTATAGCTGGGCTATGACAACAAGGTGAAAAGGTCCACCGGTCAAACTACGTCCAGCGAAAGTCAAAGGGATAGACCCGGCGGTCATCTGTGTCAGGGTTAGACGGGACTGGGTACCTGGGGGGTAGCAATGCCGCCAGGTGTTGCGGTGGCCCTCCTCCAGTGGCATTGCTACCCCCCTAGGGCCCCCGTCCCGCCTAACCCTGTAGCGTTTGACCACGGGATCTACCCCTTTGACTTTGCACGGACGGGCTTTGAGCAGTGGACGTATCCACCCGGTTGTGTAAGGTCAGCCCATAGGAACACTTTGGATCAACATCCGGGCCAGACCCACGGCAAGACCCCCTCCGTGTGGACCCAACGCGTCCGTTCCCCCCCCCCCTCCAGGTGCCGCCGGCGGCGGCGCCGTCCGTGAGGGGGGGCACACCCCGGAGATGCGTGACGGGCGTTTGCACCCGCCACAACACTTCCAGACTTGTGAGAGGCCGCCTACGCAAGATTTGGCGGCATGCTAGCCCCCGGAGGCCGCCGGCCACAGTCGTAGACACGCGAAGAGCAATCCGCGTAAGAGGGAATTGTTCAGATACTTCTCCATGACGAAAAATTATGAAAAATTCCCATCAGTCCTACAGCACACGTACCCATGTCGTGTAAAAAACTCATGATTTTATCGCGCTCCGAGTATTTAATAATATTCACACCCATCGTTACCGCAGAACGTATACTACCGTGTCATCGCCGTCCGTGAGGGGGGGGCCACACCCCGGAGACGCGTGCCGCCTCTTCGGACATGCCACCACACCATCACGCATGTATGAGGTCCCGGTGCAACGCTCCGGTGGCATTGCTACCCCCCTAGGGCCCCCGTCCCGCCTAACCCTGTAGCGTTTGACCACGGGATCTACCCCTTTGACTTTGCACGGAAGGGCTTTGAGCAGTGGATGTATCCACCCGGTTGTGTTAGGTCAGCCCATAGGAACACTTTGGAGCAACATCCGGGCT